TCTCTTTAGCCTTTTCTCCTGTTTTTCCAGGCTTTCATCTGTTCTTTGCGCTTCTGTGACAACATCTTCTTGAATGTCACTGTATGTAAGTGTGTGTGTGTACTTGTGTGTGTAGTTGTATGTAAGTGTGTGTGTGTGTGTGTGTTTGTCTATGTAGGTTTTAAACATACGCATGTAGTTAATACTGCCTTCCAACAAAACCAAATTTTACATGCCTCTCAAGCACACACCTACCCAAATACATACAACCATACATTCTCATACATGCATATTCAAACATTTATATACACGCATATATAAAAACATACATACATACATACATACAAACAAATGCAAAAACATACACACCATAATTTCCTCTATAGTAAAACAGTTTCTGTTGATCGAGATGTATGATATCCGTGCAGACGTTATCAAGGAAACTTTGATCGTGGGACACTACTAACAATGTTTTCTTCCAGCCTTGTAGGTAACTGTATGTACATGTGTGTGTATGTATGGTTGTATGTGTTTGTATACATTTGTGTATGTGTGCATGTATGTACGAAAGTATGTATGTATGTATTTATTTATTTATTTTTCATTATAGAGGACCAAATAAGTTTAAAATAAATTTGTGGAGAGGCCACCCTTAACTAAGTCATAAATAAACATAAAAGTTCAAAAGTTAGAAATTAAGAAAATCCATTTCAGCGATCAAATGCATTCAAATACTATATCAAAATTTTATAGAAATGTTAACTAGAATGAAATACATTCAGATAATACTCATGAAGTAGTCAAATAATCATAATAATAGCGGACAGACAAAAACATGTGTATGTATGTATGTATGTATGTATGTATGTATGTATGTATGTATGTATGTATGTATGTATGTATGGATGCACGTGTGTGTGTGTGTACGTATGATGTATGTGTATCAAGACATCCTCCTCATCTCATGAGCTGCTAACTTGTCAAGCCAAATGACGGCATTAAGATCAAGGTGATTGGTCGGCTCGTCAAGTAGTAACAATGTTGGCTCCAGGAACAGGGCTCTTGTAAATAATATTCATTCATAATTTTTAGTATAATAATTATAATAATAATTATTATTTTATTATTTCTAATATAAGTCTCTAATTATTTGAAAATAATTCCTGTGTTAGTGATGTTACTGTAGATAGCATTATTACTATTACAAAGTTTCATCATCTTCATCAGTACAGCATGACTGCAATGAAATCACCACTACAATCACCAACAACATCACCATCATTATCACCATCACCACCACATCACCATCATTATAACTATCACATCATCATCATCACCACAACATCATCATCATCACAATCACAAACCTAGCCAAAGACACTCTCATCCTCCAGCCACCTGAAAATTCTTCCGTCGACTTGTCCATCATGGATTTCGTGAACCCGAGACCAGCGAGAATTCGTCTGGCTCGTGGTTCAGCCGAGTCGGCACCCATATTGTGTAACTCTTCGTATACCTTGTGTATGTTTGTTTGTTTGTTTGTGTGTGTATCTGTGTGTGTTTGTGCATGTATGTTTGTTTGCTTGTGTGTGTTTGCGTATATGTATGTTCGAATGTTTGATTGTATGTGGGTATACTTGTGTTTGTTTGTTTAATCAACTAGCAGACTGACTAATTAAACTACTCATTATCCCTAAGGCAAGTGTACAGTAGGTCGTCAATCAACTTATCAAATAAATGTTTTATTGATTTAACCAATCAATCATTTCAATAAACCAATCATCATCATTTCATCATCAATCAAGGATCAATCACCTCTTTCAATCTATCAGATTCCTTAGCCTCTTTTTCAAGTTTGTCACACTCCTGTAGTAGAGCAAGCCTCTTTTTGTCTGCATTCAATACTGCATCTATTGCTTTTGTACTATCTGCTTGTACCTCTGCATGTGTGTGTTTGTGTGTGTGTATTTGTATGCGTGTATGTGTGTGTGTGTATGTATGTATGTGTGTGTACGTATGCATGTGTGTGTATGTATGTACGTATGTGTGTGTATGTATCCATGTGTGTGTGTGTGTGTGTGTGTGTGTGTGTGCATGTGTGTATGTGTGTATGTATGAATGTTTGTGTATGTATGTGTGCGTATGTTAACCTTGTTCACAAAGAAGTATATCAATATTTGATGGTATGTTGAATGCTCTAGATGCTATATGCTTCAATAAGGTCGTCTTGCCATGGCTGTTAATCAATTTAATTAATTAATTAGTTAATCAATTAATTATTGACTCAAATTAATGATGATTCAATTTCTATTAGTCACATTTAATAGTATAGAATTGTTTAACAGACGTGTTAACACTGATGCTTTCACTAAATACAAGGTAGAGACAAAAAATTAGTTATCAATCTGTCATTCATTCATTCATTCATTCATTGATGAATTCATTCATTGATGAATGCATCAATTCATTTATTCAAAAAACAGACTGTCAATCATTCAATCATTCATCATTTCTTCAATAAATCCATCTTCATTAAATAAACTATTCAATTGATCGATCGATCAATCAATCATTCAATCCATCAATGAAGTAACGAGCAAATATGATTGACATGTGTAATTTTATAAATAAATAATAAAATAAATAAAAAATAAAATAATTAATTTTAAAATAATAAATAATACTAACCCATTCGGACCAACTAGTCCATATTTTCTGCCATTAGTAATTTGGAGGGATGCGTTCACAAATAAGTCTTTACCCTTTGCTGATATGGAGAATGGCTCTACCTGCATGGAAAAATTATCTTTACTTAATTATTCATTTAATTATTATTTAATTATTTGTTTTGAAACTATTTAAAGAAAAAAATATCTTTAATAATTTAAAAATTTGGGAAAACATCACAGTAAAACAATAGAAAAATTGAAATTGAAGCTGTATCACAGAAATGACTACATACTGAAAACAAACAAATGAACAGATGAAATAAATTAGATTATCAATTTAATTAGTTAATTAATTAACTAATTAATTGATTGATTGATTAATAAAAAGCAACCTTAATATCCAGAGTGTTTTCTAGTAATGCAACTTTTGTGGTGGATTTTTCGGCCTGACTTAACGAGAACTGGTCTATCTCACCTAATTCTTTATTGAAAGCTTCCTGAAATGTATGTGCATGTATGTATGTATGTGTGTGTGTGTTATTGTGTGTGTTTGTATGGGCGTGTTAGTGTGTGTGTGTGTATGTATTTGTATGTGTGTGTGTGTGTGTGTGTGTGTGTGTGTGTGTGTGTGTGTGTGTGTGTATTTGTATGTGGGTCTGAAAATAATTAGTTAAGTTGTACAGACCATCTTTTTCTTCTTCTTCATTTCTTTTTTAGATAACTTTGGTGCATCTTCTTCAACTGAAATGGAAAAATAAAAATTTTAGGAGAGATGGATGGATGGATGAATAAATAAAAATATAATGAATAAATGAATGAAATGAAGCTAGGCCAAATTTGTAATCTTGAACACCAAATAAAATTCAAAATTTTAACTAGATTGCAATAGTTATTATCAAACTTTAACTATGAATATATATTAATAAGGTGTCTAAATTAAATCAAGAAATATGAGTATATCACACATAACCAAACATTAGCTGCATATTTTATCTATGTATGAAATTTGTTTTATTAATATTAACATCTCTACCTTCATCTATTGCTTTGGCTCCTTCATTTTCATCATAATTGTAGTTCATTCCATCATCATCTCCAACATCATCATCATGTTTAGATGAACCTCTATCTTTTTTATCACAATCACTATCAGTACTATCTTTGACATCATCTTCATCCTCATCATCATCATCATTTTTTGCAGGTTTCTTCTTTTTCTTTTCCTGTTTAGGAGCTAATTTGGTGGCTTTTGTTGAGGCAGGTGGTTGTTTATCATCCCCATCATTGACATCGTTGTCGACGGCCTTTTTCAATTTCATTTTGTCTGCCTTCTTTTTCCCACTCTTTTTAACTCTGCAAAAATAACATTATTGAACTGTTTAACTATCTTTCAAATAAATAAACCATAAAAAAAACGGCATAGGCAAACAGTTTGTAAAACTAACTGAAGAAAAAGAACTACAAAGTTATTTCAATTTACAAATTCACTACTAATTTATCATTATAATTCACCACTAACTCATTTGCATCATCAGCTATTTGAATGGCCTGGAATCTATCACTTTCTTGGTCAATATCATTCAAGAAGCTCATCTTTTCCTTCCATTTCTCTTCTGATTTTGATGTTTTTGAAGATTTTGTTTTGGTCGACTTTGTTTTGGATGCCATGTTTTTGTTTTTCGTTTAATTAAGTTAGTCAAATGTAGTTCGTAGTTCTAGTTAGTTGTTGTTAGTTGAATGGCAACTTAACTCACTTAACTTTGTGTGGTGTACCTAGGCCGAGGCTTAAATTAAAACAAATTGATATTCTTTAAAAAATACTTACAGATATTTTATTCTAAAATATCAGCCTATAATTTCCTAAAAAAATCGGCTAAAAAAATAAAAACGACACAGGCAAACCGGACAGATGGAATCGGCTCAACAATCGACTTGACTTTAATTATCGCTCGTTAAAGAACCATCCAACTTTTACACAACACAGACAACTAAGTTGAACGTAAGAAATGTGACTATAGACGTTGTAACTGAACTTCCACATGCATATACAAAACAATACAATACAATACAATACATTACATTACAATATAATATTTTATTTATATAAATACATAAGCTTATATAAATTCAATTTTGAAGTATTCACTTTTTTTCTATACATATATATTCGAGCAGACCATTAAATATTTATAAATATCTTTATATATCCAACTGATTTTCAAACTATTCTTGAAAATAACTTCTTTTAAAGAATGCAAACAATGAAGCAAAATCATTCGATATGACTTGATAAACATTTCAATTGTAAAAAATCAAATTCAGATGTCATTGAGTCCGTTTGGTAAGGTGCAGTTGCCAAATTCAATTTCCCTCTTTCGTTTCTGTATTTCATCTTTCAACTTCAAGGCCTGGTTTTATATTGAAATAATAAAAGTCCAATGGTCATCATCGTTAGTAGCTGATGATTGAATGAACGAACGAAAGAACGAATGAATGAATAATTGAGTGAATGAACGGTAAAATCTATATGATTGTCTGAACAAAAAAATGGATTGATAAATGAATGGGTGAGTGATGAACGGACAAAAAATGAATAAAAATAGAAATGAATGAAGGTAAAATTAAAAAAAGAATAAAACATATATCTTACAATGTCAAGATCTCTATTCGCAGTAGACATGGCTCGCTTGGGGTCCATGCTTGCATACTGGCGGTTTTTTATCGATTGAATCTGCTCGGCCACCTTGCCCTTGAGGAAACTCTCATGGTTCAATCTGAAAGAATATTATTTCACAACATAATTAACAGTAATTAAAAGAAGAAGAAAAAGAGGAGGAAGAAGAAGAAGGAGGAGAAGGAGAAGAAGACGAGGAGGAAGAAAACGAAGAAAAAGA